TGTTTCTTGGGTGCATGAGGCTGTGGAATGGCCATCGCCACTACCCCCAGTGCAAGTAACCGTGCCCAACTTAGTCAAGAGTGCCATCCTCGCCTTTCTAACTACGTATTTCTAGTTGTCTGAAATTGGCTTCTAGCTAGATGTAATGACTTCAGTTTAGGCGGCCTGAATGACTGTGTTATATATAAAATCGGCCCTGTTCTGCGTTTTTTTGTAATCACGACGTAGACTGTAAAGGCCTCTCACCACCTTGAGTACCGTGTGTTAGATTTAATAGTCATAATTGGCTAGAGACTGGGCGTAGGGGCATAATCAGCTTATGCCCAAAGCATGCTAGCAACAGATTTGATGCCTCAGGCCCACTGCCCATATCTACCTTTTTTATTCGCAAGACTGTTTATTACTTGTTAAATACAAGCGACTCAATCTTGCCTCTTGCGCGCACACACACGGATACAGACACATACAACAGCAGCCATGGAAGAATACATATCAAGACACCATCGCGCGCAGGAAATCAGAGTCCTTGAAAAGGTTCAAACATGGGCAGCAACAATCGCATTTCGCGACGACATGTTAATGTCTAGTCCCCCAAGTTGCTCTGCTGCAGACTTCAAGAGGCCGCACCTCCGGCGATGCCTTTTTAACACGGCCAATATTGATTGGAGCCGCTCCTCACGTGTTGGTGGTGGACTCGACGGATATATCTGGAAAGTGTGGTTCGGGGCGGATGGCCCATATGCCCTCAAGGTGTTAAGCATACCTATGTTTAAGTACGGCTAGCCTTTCCTTACTTTCTTCTGCAGTTCTGGGATGCCGACCGGCCGGACTTTCATCACTACTTTGCCGCCCAGAGGGAATGCCAGAATGCTGCCCTTCTTCAGATGCTCGAGACAGCAATTCAACAGGCGACCACTCCAATTATGGTGAATGCCAGCCCAAGAACTAAAGATGAAGCTTTAGCCAACCTTGATGGATTCTCCAACGAAGGCCGACAAATGAATACATTAGCTCTAGGAGCACATGTCGAGGAAATAGTAACGATTCCACGCATCAGGAAGTGTTATGGGTGGACAACGTTCAGTGGCCATGTATTACTAGAGTTGCCCAAGGAACTAAGGCCACCGGTCCTTCGGGTTGGTAAGTTTTGCCGCTCGATATCCACACAGAAGGAATATATTGCAATAGTGTACGAATATGTTGAAGAAGGGGAAAATCACCCGGATGTTGTAGAAGAAGCAGATAAATTCTTTTGGCTTGCTGGATTTAGCCATAGCTCCTCTCCTGCTGCAAGGAATTGGAAGAGCGGAGTCCTTGTGGATTTGTCGGATATTGTTCATGCTGGTGGATACGGATGGTATGCGAAACGCTATGGACCATGGCCGGCGAATAAGTTGCTGAGGCCGTAGATATTCTACTTGAATTAAAACTAGACTAACTTAATTATATTTAGACATTTCTTAAGATATAGTGCCCTAACATTACTTTTTAAAGTAATTATATCAATTAATGCTTAAGATTTATATCTGTAATAGTATTATTACTAGTAAAGTTATAAAATAACCAGACCCTAAATACTTAACAAAATATAGGTAGGAGGACTCTATAAGAGATTTCTATTATAATACCTTTATTATTACTCTATAGCGACAATTCTAATATTTTTATTACCCTTTAGAGATATACCGGAGTAGTCCAGCCCTGCAAAAGACAACACTATTAGGGCTCGTTGCAATACACTAAGCTCAATTTATGCGAGCTTTTGCCACAAACTTCAAACAGGGCAGTATCAAGACATTACTGCGACGGAGGTAAGGCAACCCACTTGATTATCAGCTAAACTAATTGGTCGCAGACAGAAATCCTCAGGCGAAACTCGACGGAGGCACCCTACCTGTTTCGGGCAAGAAGCAAGAAATCTTCGCATCCTAAGCGAAAGCGAGGTCAGGATCAGCAGGCCCAAGGCATATCCTTATTATCCTCTATTGCCGCCGCCCTCGTACAAAGCTACTCGCCTTGCAACGCTAAAAAGCTCTTTGGAGAAGAAGGATACAACAGGCTTAACACACAGGAAAGACCCGGCTCTGACAGCGTTTCCGTCAAGGTCTTTCTCGCTATTAGACAGAGCGACGAAAAAAGTGAGATCCAGGAGCTATATCGACGGATCTGCTGCTACGTGTTCGCAAGATTACATCAGAAACACAGGTCTGTGGATCCGATAGTGGAGGAAATCGAAAATGCGCTGCTCCTTGTCATCGATGCCGGGGCGAAAGTCTACCATTACCTGCGCATTGAGGCGAAGTGGGCGACGGTTCTGGAGACATTTTCGTCTATGCTCAATCGAACCCCGCAGCAGCTTACTGGGATCCTCTGCCTTCTGGGGTCCCCAAGCACGTGAGTTCGGCCAACGTTATAGTAGGCTTCCTTATTCATCATCTTTCAGCTGGGAGAGAGCATCAACCGAAAATCATCAATCTGCACTCACACATCTGGCAGTAAACACAGACATGGTCGAAAAGACTGATCATTTTACGCCTCTCGTCAATAACGCTGTAAACCAACTATCATATACAGCCACTATCTCCATGCCCTCATAGTGCTAACTATTTCCTAGTAAATCACTCTTTTCAAGACAAGACACCTAGCCTCACCTTACAATCGAGCTCTTTGCCTGCTATAACAAACATGCCTCAATCTAGCCAAAGCAGCGCCAGGCCTAGCATCTCATCCACCTATAGATCTTTACATACCGCTGCACAAGCAGGGCCCCCGTAGAAGGGCTCCTCCATAGCAGCTGTATCTAAGTCTTTGCCTAGATCAAGCAGCGGCTATTCGGAAGATGCCAGCATCTTATTGGAATTCTTATCTATTCTTGCGGTCTCTGAGAAAGTCCCATTAGAACTTCTCTCCCATAGAGCTACACCTCAGAGATACTGGAATATACGTGGCGAGATAGACAAGGCAGATGCTGTTACTGCTAGTCTTGCCCCAGAGTTATATAGCTTGCTCTCCCGCAGCTCAAGGTTAAGCGATGCCTTTCATAAGCTCGAACTATCGTCAGCTATTTCAAAGAACATTAATAAGACCTACAACTTAGACGAAACCGTTGCAAGCCATATCCTCGAGAGGTTATTACCGGAGAACCTCTTATTCTTTAGGTCTCAAGCCTTAATCGTTATATATCGAGCAATCCCCTAGGAATATCTCGAGCCTGCATAAGTTTAGCCAGCAACAGACCTACCTCTACAGACTAACAGTAGTCGCAGCACTCCCACCACAAATCTATTCCTACCGCATCTCAGATACGCTCTACAGTCATTTCATGAACACTCTATATACCTGCCGGCAGGCATCAGAGCCGATCTTGTCCTCACGCTCTTAGAAGCATCTCGATTTCCCAGCATAGCGTGGAAATTCTTTATCGTAGACCAAGCAGAACAGGCTACAATCGGCCTAGAGGATCAGTACATTAACTCTTTAATCGCCCTATCACGATATCTTCTAAAACGGATTTCTAGAACTATAGACCCGACTGGTGACTACCTAGACGATATCAGCGGGGACACAACGTCAATGCCTGTAAATAACAGGATAAATTCCGCTGCCAGCTAAGCATCTATTCAGCGTTCTTTAAACTGCATCTAGACTAAAGACCTATCTACTGCCAAGAGATTACTAGAAGATTAGAGCCCCCTCTACAAGATCCTATTATCACTTAAACGCGTTGTGTTAAGTTTCGGAAGAACATCATACCTAGAAGAATTCTACTGTACTAAGGTATATTCAGGGAATCGCTAACGTATCTCGAGAAGGCCCAGACAACAGCAGCCAAGGAAAATAATCTCAACTTTTATAAAGACTTTTATAATCTTACTTACGATCTTACAGATACGCTGCAAGAGCTCAATAAGTCTACGTCTAGTAAATAGCACCTTCGCACAGAGATCACCCAGCGAGACCAAAGTAGTATCTCCACAGGCAAATCTCTATTACAAGTGTCGCTTGCCGAAGCCCTATTTGCCCAAGCACGCTATACAGAAGCTGAAAGCATCTGCTTGGAAGTTGAGTCTCGTCCCGACTTGTTGAAACTCGAAAGGTTGCGATTACATATCACAATGGCAAAGATACATCACGTTCAGTCCAACAACGACGACGCATTTGTTTATTGGAATGAAGCAATGAAAGATATTGCAAAGTTTCATATGACCGGTGGACGTGCAACTCGAACGATCCTCTTATCTATTTGCGATATCCTCCGCAGTCGAGGCCAAACAAAGCTGATGACTGATTCCATGGATCAGGTGGCATTGCTCGATGCTGGTGCAAAGCCGGGAGGTGTTGAGTACTGGATCGCGGGATTGCGCCTTTGGTCACAGTATCTGGATTCGAAAACTTCTCGTAGTCATCTGTAGCAGATTATTTCCTTGACCTTTATTGGCTTCAGAGAGGAGGAGGATCAGGCCTTGGTAGACCCTTGATAATTATACCTTACTCGCTGAAGGATTGTACGCCATACAAGATCCGTATCAATTTTGATTTGTCCATCATTACTACACAGAGACATGTTTAGGAATGGCTGCCTACTTGTATATCTAAGCTGGCCACGTTTGATGGTAATGAGCTATCCTCGAGCCAGTCATCGAAGTATACAATGTGATTTTGTTCATTACTTTGCGCATCACGGTGCACCACGTCAACAATGAGAGAATAACGACTTGCTTGCGTTGACGTGTTTCCTTCTCGTTGCGTAGTCAACAACCAGATTTAGGTGGCAAAATCATAGATGGTCACAGAACGACCCGGATAGTACTGGGTGAAAGAAGACGGAACCGTCGGTTGAAACGGTTGGTTGTAGCCTTAAATGATTGATCTCAAAGCTGATGGCCCAAGGGCAAGTGACGAGGTCACTCGTCAGAAATCGATCGAAGCCTTTGGTCTATGAGTGAATATAAAAAGCATCCTATCCACTTCCAACTTCTGGAGTCATTCCAATCCAAATCATCCAAACACTCTTGACACTCGAGCCTAGCCTAGGTTTATCTGAATCTATTATCCTTTCTTTATAAGGCAAGTCAAAGAAGAATAGGTGCGGCTATTCCAGCTATTCTCTGTAATCTCATAGATACAAGAAATATGCTAACGCTTCTCGAAGCTCTTACGAAGCGAAATGTTGCGGTCAACTCCCAGGCCGTTGTAGGGGGTTCCAATACCACCACTGAAACATATATAGAGCCGGGTGGCTGGAGGACGTGGGACGAATTCAACTACGACACTCTGACCCGAATCTTCCGGCGGAGGCTTGCTTCGGAGTATCGTGGCTCCTTGGAACCACGGGCTTTGGAGCTAGATGTGATCGTCAATAATGAAGAGACCTTGGAAGACCTCCTAAGGCGATTCATGAGCCCATGCGTCAATTACGCACTGGAGCATCAGCAGGGTCATCCACATCTCGGGCGTGGAAGCCGATGTGGATTTGAGGACAGGCCTGACTGGTCAGCGATCTCGACTGAATATATAACTGAACACGGACAGTTCGCCAACATTCTCCCGGGAGACACTAAGCTCGACGCCAAGTGGTCGCCTTGGATGTCTGAGGACATGGGCAGCTTCAACGAGTGGCAAAAGGTCCTGGCCCAAGAGCTGACATATATGGCTAGATACCGTACTAGATACGCCTTCATCATCACTGATGCCAATCTTGTTGTTCTCAGGATCACACGCGAGCTTATTGGCGCTGGCCTAGCCCAAACACGTCCGCGAAGGGAGGCCGCTGTTTTCGTTGGCCATCAGAGACACAGTTCAGATGCCACGATGGGGTCAGGCGGCGGCTCAAGTTCATTCTACAGTGATGATAGCCCGTTGGAATGGAGCTACCATGACCCGGAATACGCCGTCATTCCCTGGAATGCGCATGGAAAAGAGGTTCTTACCATTAAGCTAGGTCTTTGGTCCTTGATTATGATGGCTACGAGCGGCGACAGAGCGATCGATTACTCATACCCCCCGTTGGATAGCTGGCGATACAATGGCAAGGGATATGTTCATAGCACTTCAGGTGCTACCAAGGCAGAGCTGTCTCAGGGTGATCATCTCTTGCTAGAGCCTAATGACATGAGCTGGGAGGGGGGCCAGGGCGTCCACGATATGCCTCAACCAACCCGCGCTGGTGGCACATCCGGTGTCGGCCCTTCTCAAGCATACCAGCTGGATGATATGGAGGCTTCTGTTGAAGGATCCTCTCGACAGGCCGATCACGGCCCGGACGATGGCGACCAAAAGACTGAGGTCGGGTCTTCTCACAGGCACCAAAAGCGCAAGAAGGTCCGAATCGAAAAGCATCTGGTCACTAGAAGGCTCTACTATCTAAACGCCAATGGAGACAAAGTCGATACAAGTAGGGTTCAGTGGACCAAGGTAGACGGCGGGTATGAGTTGAAGGGCCGGAAGAATGTCTACTTTACAGAACAATTCCCGCATTAGCGTAGGCTTGAGCCGCCATCCCAACAATCGCTTTGCAGTCAAACAGCGCAAAGAAATATGGAGTGCTGCAACGAGCGGCTCGAAGGAGGGCTTCATGAATGCTTCTTGTAAAGGCGGCTCAGTACATTGAAGTCGTTGGAGGAGTTTGGTTCAGAGCTTGTTAGTCATGGCGGGGAGATTTGGCCTGCATAGGTGCAGGCTTCTCAACTCTTACCAAGGCGTCTTTCGTCAAGGGCTAGCTGACAAGTGCTTCTACAGGTGATCTCATTGTAGCAGGGAGGTGGGGATACCCCTTTGACACAGATTGTTGAATAATATGTAGTGGATATAGGCGGAGGTAAAGCTTCTTTCGGTGTGATCGAGCGAAGAGTTATTACAAACAAACCCCATTTATAACTTCTATTGCACTTGTTCCTCCTGTCGGGTGTGTTCGTGTCCTGATTGATCCACTGGCCAGCATCCGAAGGAAGGTTATGTGATCTGAATCTTAAACCGGGACAAAATACAACATGCCCATGCACACTTCGTTCTTGTCTCAGAGACCTCAGCACACAGATGAGTGACGAGCGATGGCATGGGCAATGTCGACTCGAAGCCCGATTGTTTGGCCAGTTCGATGGCAACATTAACCCCGAAGCTGGCTACGCGATGGTCCAAATTCACAATGAATTGGATTCCCGCCAAAAGCTCAAGACGCATGCCGTGATTGAGCTCACGCAGATGGCCCAAGCCCAACGCGGACCCTGGGCCAAAGTCGTTGCCGCCAAGTTGCAAGAAGCATGGTCAAAAAGAACAGTCCAACTTCATGATCATAAGGTATGGCTTTCAGACTGGGACGCCAGCAACGACATTCAGAAACAGCCTGCGAACCTGGAAAAAATATTTTTCCAGCTTCAGAATGGCCTGGCTGCTCCACAAGCTTCTCCAAGGTGAGCTCCGTGAGCCTCACATTAGTGTCACGCGCAAGGCTTCGCACCAGCGGCTCATCCATCCTACGAACCGGGCATTTGAACACAGCGAAGCGACTTATACTGACAGGCGCCACGGTATCCGGTCGTAATTATGAGGTCAAGTAAGTGACTTTACCCCTAGGTGGTCAATCATTCTCAACGCACCCGACGCTGACAGAAATGATTCAAGGCCCAGGCTACAGGCTACGGGGGACCCCGCCCGTTTACAACAGATGCTGTAAACCCAACCTGCCAACGATTACAGCGCTAACGCGCCATGTTGCGGTCTCTGTGCAGAAGTCCATGGACCGTTCACTTGCGATGTCCAAGAAAGAACTTGAACTGCTGCAAGTGTCGGAGCCTACACGGCGTGCGACCAATGTTGTAACTCTTACCCTATTAATAAGTCTATCTACAATTACCTACATTTGTTGCGACTACTTTCCATATCCAGAGGGCCACTAAATCTCACGGTTCTTCAGGCGTCTGCGTACTGTTCGTGCATGCTAAGCCAGAGGACCCTCCTCTGTACACTGAAAGCAAGCTCGTTCATTTATCACCAGCCGGGAACCATGAGCGTGTATATCTCAATAAAATATGGCCAAAGTACAGTCTTAGGCACGAGACACATGAAGACGAGGTTTATCGCGGGATCAAAGCGCTGACAGGGACCAGTTCGGGTGCATACATGTCGCATTCAGTTGTCTACAACCTACCTGTGATGTACTAGACCTCAGAAAGCCTGGCGGGGCAACAGACAATAGTTACTACAAGAAACCTACCTATTATCCTCCTTCAAAAGTCTCGATTGAGCCGCTGAGTCGATTGCGGATTGGCTACGAGTTGGCCATTATCAGTCCGAAGCTCGATAATGTCAGCCAGCCTGTCATATTTCAGCACTGGGGGAATTTCTTGCCAGAGGGAGCCATCCAATAGTTGCCATTTCCTGTACCAATCGAAGCCGTCGAGGTCCTTGGTCTGGCTGGCTAACGCCTGCGCATCTAACGAATTGCCGGTATTGAAGTCGGTAGACAAGACTTCAGAAGTCTGGTTCAACAGCTTGTCAATGGCTTCCACGTCTTCGTCACGCATCATCCTTCTGGGAATTGCGTAGCTGCTAAAGTCGTCATGATGGAACGTGCCGCCCTCAAGCCTCAGGTTGTATAGCCGATACCATGCGACATCTCGATGGACTATTCGCTGTAGGAGTTCTGTACAGTAGTCCTGATGTGACCCTGCCTGGAGGAGAAGCGTGAAGGATTTGGCCGGGATCCCTACATCCTTCACGACGAGCGCATCCCTAATCCAGTAGCCAATGTTGCGCGAGAGGGAGCATCTGATCCACTGGGGTTCCAGGTTTATTCTCTCACCACGTTGTAAAATACGCATCAGAAGGGATGGCATAAGCGAGATTCCGATGATGCAATCCAGTAAGCTGACGCGACGGATAATTTGTAGCGAGGGGTTTTCTTGGACGGAAGGAGCGAGGCCGCGGGCGTGGGTGTGCGGATCGTTTACTGAATCAAAGTCTTCGTGCAATAGAGATGCTTCAACCAAATGCGCTGACCGGGAATGCGGTTCAGGAAGCGGATGGCATTGGCGGTGGCTGAAAATCGGATCTTCTCTCGACAATGAAAACCAGAGGGAACGTATACATCAGTATCAGAACCACCTTCGTCTTCGTCGTCCTGGTCATTGTGGCTACCACTGCCGCCATCATCCTCGTCGCTCGAGTGTTCAAATGGCTCGTCTGGAGATGCGGGAGGGCCTTCGTAATGCCACTTATCCGGATACTCCCAAATACCATCAATACCCTAGAGTCTGATAGCATTCTTCACGTCGCTCTCGGATGGAATAGCCCAGTTATCGAACCGAAGACTTAGAAAGTCTTGAACTATATCTGGCCCAGTCCAGTGAGGAAAGATCTCGCGCAGGTGATCCGCGAACTGGACCGGTTTCTTGTCTGCGATGAGCCGTAAGCAATACGACAGAGCATCCTGAACCACCGAGTCACTACCATACCAGGTATTCGATGGATGGCTATAACTGTCTCGTTCGCGATGAGCCCTTGAGAAGCCATCAGACCAGTGATGTTGCCGCTGGTCAAGATGCAAATTCACGTAATGATCGACGAAGCGTCCAAGAGACCCACAGCAGCGATTTCCGGACAATCTCTCGGTCTCGACCCATGTTTGCGCATGAGGAGATCCAGACTCGGCAGCAATCGCTTCGTTAGCGCGTCTGTTGTTATCGCGCAGCCAGCCAAGTCGATGATTTCTCGATACCGCTTCAAGCTGGTTCGCAAAATCGGGATATTTCAGAGCGTACTGCTCATACATTTCGGGAGTCATGAACTCCGCTAAATGAAGGACCAAGTCTCCTTCCAAGTGGCGGTAGTACGTAGCAACAACATTAAAGCAACCGGCTAGACTTCGCCAATCCTCGCGATACAGTGTTGAGAAGGTGACCGCGTTGAGGGACAAGGGCATATGCATGGTCTCGTTGGCGATGGTACGGCAGGTGAGCATGAGGGACAAGTCAATCGGCTGATCGTCACTCGTCTTGAGTTTGTCGGATTTCGCATTGTAAACATATCCGCCGTCGAGTTGGAAGTAGTCACGATAGATATGGAGACGCAGCTCCAGTGCGAAATGGAGGAAGCTGAGCTTGGTCGACATGGTAGCGCCCAAGGTGAAATGGTTGAGTCAAGTTCTTGATTTTTGTAAGAGGAAAAGCGTGTGAACCAAGAGGGGGAAGACGCGGGGATTTTATAGATAAAATTTAGAGTTATGGCAGCGGGGTCAGAGCCACGTCACGGAAAGAATTATGTGAAGCCGTCACCGACTGAGGTAGAGGTTAATTCGCTGTCGCCTTGGATCCGTTCACTTCTTTCCACTTACTTGCATCTCCACCAATCCTGAATGGCCACCACTTCAACTTTCAATTTACACCAAACTTTGAAATCATGCAGCAACCAATAAGAGAAGAAGGCCTCAACATCAAAGTTCCGTCATTTTAGGCTGCAGCGGGTGAACATGTCATACATAAGGTTTCGCTTTTACCTTCGGCGGAATTGCTATCAAACTCCAAACAACATTTGTGCGCCTCCTGTTCTTGACCACTCAGCAACGGTATTGCCTGGCTGCCTGAGTCTTCAGAGAGGTTCCATAGATGGGATGACGGTCATGATAGGTCCTATTCCCTCGGACAGTTTCCGTAAGAGTGGACGGGATTTGATGTTTTGCTGGTCTGGTTGGAAAGTCAAGGAGATGCGTAGAGTTGCTAGTTAAGTGCTTAGTCCGTAAATGCCCCAAGTTTAGAAAAACAAGAAATGAATTCGTCATAAAGTCATCGAGTGCACCTTAATCGGAAGCTGGTAGTTGTATTCGCACGATCTCTTCAACACGAAACGCTTGAAGGTTTCAGCCAAGGCGGAATCCCGGGTTTGGTGACAAACCCGATACAGGCCGAGCTACCCAGCAATGGTGGCACTATCTTAGCGCAGGTTCCCTCCCGCTAAGAAATTATCCGTGAGCAGCCAATTGAGAAGCAAAGCAGACACAATCTGGCAAATAAAGCATACCCTCATTAATAATAATAGTTAAAGAATCATCCTTTAGGCTCATTTAGGCACAGAATCTTGACAATCGCATGGGAAAGAGGAAGCTCGGCGTAGCAGGCAACAGATTTGTGGCTTATTCGTCCAATCAGATTGTAGTGTCGAATGATTTCAGCCAATCAAGCTGCTAGGCAGAATCACAGGCAGGCAAGGCAGCCATCGACGTCAATTGAGGCACAAACAACTCGGGCTGACTCACTTCAGTATCTCTACTGCATATAAGATGCACTGCAACATTGAGCACTTCTCAACTCTCTCCCCAAAACACTTCTCCCCATAGTCATCATCACGTATCATCTCAGGATCAGGCTAAAGTGCTGCGCCTCAAGCTTGCTTAACCCTCACCGTGCTATCGCTACGACCTGCAGTTCTCCAACTCCAACGTCTGCTTTATTTCCAACACTCCACTTTCTCACCTGATATCGCCGTCAACTTGAGTCTTTGACAGCACCAGTCAGCAGCGCGTTTACCCAGCTTCTTCATCATCATCGAGAACAAGAAACAACATGTCACTCTTTGGCGGTTCACGAATCGGCAGACGTGTCACCACGACCCCATGCGGCTGCTACATCTTCATCCAAGACACGCCCAAGTACCTCCCTCAGGTCCAGATAAAGGCTCACACCACTATCCTCGCCACAACATCCCGCACCAACCTCACCCAAACCTTTGTCAATCCCACCGGTGAAGCCATTGATGAACTGCGCTATGTCTTTCCTCTTTACGACGGTGTCTCCGTCGTCGCCTTCACCTGTACCGTCGGCTCTCGTGTCCTCAAAGGCGTAGTCAAGGAACGACAGAAGGCGCAGCAAGTCTACAATGAAGCCAAAGCCAAAGGACAAACCGCTGGTCTGTTCAAGCAGTCTCTTGAAGCAGCTGATACTTTCACTACTACTATTGGGAATGTCCCCGCTGGTGAGAAGGTGCAGGTTGACATCACGTACCTTGGAGAGCTCAAGCATGATGCTCAAGTCGATGGTCTTCGCTTTACGATCCCAACACAGATTGTTCCACGATATGGTGATTCTCAATCCCTCCCCTCGTCTAATGTCATACAAAAAGGAGGAATCTCTTTCACCATCGATGCAGAGATGCCTGACGGTTCAGCTATCAAATCCATTCAGTCTCCTTCTCACCCTCTTTCAGTTGAGATCGGCACTACTTCTACCACGAAGTCTGAGGACCCCTCCCTCCAGAGAGCTTCTGCTACCCTCCAACAGGGCACTACTCATCTGGAACAAGACTTTGTTGTCCAAGTAGTCGCCACAAAACTGGGAGAACCATCGGCTATCCTGGAGACTCACCCCACCATCCCGAACCAACGTGCCATCATGACCACGCTTGTCCCCAAGTTCAAACTGCCTGCCGAAAAGCCCGAGATTGTGTTCATCTGCGACAGAAGTGGCAGTATGGGTGGTCAGATCCCTGGCCTCAAAACAGCTCTTCAGATCTTCCTCAAGTCGCTTCCCGTTGGCGTCAAGTTCAATATCTGCAGTTTCGGTTCTCACTTCAGCTTCCTCTGGGATCGGTCTCAGTCCTACAGCCAGGAGACACTCGACAAGGCTGTTCAGCACGTCGAGACCTTTGACAGCGACTATGGCGGCACTGAGATGTACCAGCCATTCGAGGCTACTTTCCAGAAGCGCTACAAGGACATGAACCTCGAGGTCTTTCTGCTCACAGACGGCGAGATCTGGGACCAAGATCGTCTGTTCCAGCTTATCAACAAGGAAGTGGCTGATAGTAAGGGTGCTGCGCGAGTCTTTTCACTTGGTATTGGAGCAGGTGCCAGTACCTCTCTGATTGAGGGTATTGCCAGAGCTGGTAACGGCTTTGCTCAGACGGTTGCTGATGATGAGAAGATGGACAAGAAGGTGGTTCGCATGCTTCGAGGAGCTTTGTTTCCTCATGTTTCCGATTATTCTCTAGAGATCAAGTATGACAAAGAAGATTCTTCGACTGAAGATGACTTTGAGTTGATTGAGAAGGTCGTTGACGCGTTGAAGATTGATACTTCCAAGGGTGAAGAAAAGACCAAGGAAGTAGAGGCACCAAAGAAGCCTATCTCATTGTTCGACACCTCTGCAAATGACGATGACGATACTGAGATGGCCGATGCCCCAGACGTTGACAACAAATTCGACCATCTTCCTGATGTTTCTCTCCCTCGCTATCTTCAGACACCCGGCACTATTCCTCCTCTGTTCCCCTTCAACCGTACCACCGTGTATGTCCTTCTCTCCGAGGACACTCCTTCACAGCAACCCAAATCTGTCATCCTACGAGGCACCTCAAGCCATGGCCCTCTCGAACTCGAGATCCCAATCACAGTAGTCGCCGAGAAAGATTCTGTGATTCATCAACTCGCAGCACGGAAGGAAGTCAAGGAGCTTGAAGAAGGCCGGGGATGGCTCAAGCATGCCAAGGACTCCGACGGCAAACCCCTCACGGACAAGTACGATGGCCACTTCTCTGACATGGTCGAGCGTGAAGCCGTGCGTCTCGGTGTCAAGTATCAGGTTGGAGGCAAGTGGTGCTCATTCGTCGCTGTTGAGGACAATGGAAACGAAGTTGAACGAGGAGAAGTCCAACAGGCTGCACCTGATGAGGCTAGACAACATAACATGCCGCAAATGATGACTGCTCGCTTCGGTGCACCAGCACCAGCACCAAGCAGCGGCAAACCTTTTCTCTCGTTTCTCAGCCGTGCTCGCAAATCAAACCAGCCGGATACCAGGAGTGCCTCAACCTTTGGGGGCTCTAGTGGAGCATTCTTGAGTTCATCTGGAACTCGTAGCCGAGACCTTTCTTCAGCGGGTCGAGGTGGTGGCCTCTTCGGAAGTTCCGGGTCTTCCAACACTGGCGGAGGACCGTTCGGCAACTCAAGCGCCCAAGCCCTCAGTTTCGCCCCAGGGTCTAGTGCATCATCTGGTAGTCTTTTCGGAGGCGCGCCGGGAGGATCATTTGGCTCATCTGGAAGCTTGTTTGGCAGTGCTCCTATACCTCCACCACCTCCTCCCGCCGCACCTGCAGCACCAACTGTTCAAGCCGCAGCACTCGCGCCTCCCGCGGCTGCAGTTGATGAAGACCTTCTTTCTCAGTATCAAGAAGAAATGGCAGAGGCTGCAGCTATGCCACTTGAGGAAGAACTGGAAGCGGAAGAGTCTGGTGAAGACATGGGATTCGGACTTTTCGACGACGGACCTTCTGCTCCTGCGCCAGCTACCGGCTCTGCTTTCTTTTCCTTGCCTGCCTCCACCTTTGCTACAGCTCCGAAGACAAAGACCATCAGCGACATGGAGCCATTGCAAGCTTTGACTACTCTTCAAACATTCGCAGGTAGCTGGTCCTGGAGCTCCGATCTGGAGCGTGTTCTTGGCGTGACCTCTGACCAGGTTTCCAAGTTGACACTGCCGGCTTCAGTCAAGGAGCATTCGGAAAAAGATGATGTGCTGGCTACAGCGTGTGCTGTTTTGTTCTTCAAGAAGAAGCTGCAGGAGGAGATGGATACTTGGGAGATGTTGGTTGAGAAGGCAGAGGGATGGTTGGAGGACAACGTTGGGGATGATGGTATTTCCGAGCTATTCAGTGCCCTCGAGAAGTTGTTTTAGATGGTTTTACCCTGGGAATATCTTGGAAGAATTGTTTGTGTAGTTAGTTAGTGCGAACCGTGAAATCACAATCTAGTCATTCAAGAATCTACAGTTCCTTTTAGCTCCGTATCTGCCTGTACTGGAAAGACACTACTCTAAAGCCGGGGACCAATATTGAGTCAACGTCAGCTAGGGAAGAGTGCTCAAATTGTGACTGACTCAGGTAGCTCTAGATCCTCTAGATTTTGAAGTTGTTCATATGTGTAGATTTACCTTTCGCTGATGTTTAAAGCTCTCATAAACCCGCAAGACCAATCAGCCATGCAAAATTCTGCCGCGTACACGTAGCCGATAGCTTATAGCATTATGAATATGTTCAAACAGGCATTCACCGTATCATGACTGCCTGGTTTTGATGGAGTCGCGATGAACTTTGAAGGGAGCTTGGAACAACTGGATCTCCAGG